CTGGGCTATAGCTTACACCCCTGACCCAGCAATCTCTTCTGACACATTCAGAGCTTATATAATTGTACCCATGCAACCAACTCTACTGGGCTATAGCTTACACCCCTGACCCAGCAATCTCTTCTGACACATTCGGAGCTTATGGAATTGTCCCCATGCAACCAACTCTACTGGGCTATAGCTTACACCCCTGACCCAGCAATCTCTTCTGACACATTCAGAGCTTATAGAATTGTACCCATGCAACCAACTCTACTGGGCTATAGCTTACACCCCTGACCCAGCAATCTCTTCTGACACATTCAGAGCTTATAGAATTGTACCCATGCAACCAACTTTACTGGGCTATAGCTTACACCCCTGACCCAGCAATCTCTTCTGACACATTCAGAGCTTAAAGAATTGTCCCCATGCAACCAACTCTACTGGGCTATAGCTTACACCCCTGACCCAGCAATCTCTTCTGACACATTCAGAGCTTATATAATTGTACCCATGCAACCAACTCTACTGGGCTATAGCTTACACCCCTGACCCAGCAATCTCTTCTGACACATTCAGAGCTTATATAATTATACCCATGCAACCAACTCTACTGGGCTATAGCTTACACCCCTGACCCAGCAATCTCTTCTGACACATTCAGAGCTTATAGAATTGTACCCAAGCAACCAACTCTACTGGGCTATAGCTTACACCCCTGACCCAGCAATCTCTTCTGACACATTCAGAGCTTATAGAATTGTACCCATGCAACCAACTCTACTGGGCTATAGCTTACACCCCTGACCCAGCAATCTCTTCTGACACATTCAAAGCTTATGGAATTGTCCCCATGCAACAAACTCTACTGGGCTATAGCTTACACCCCTGACCCAGCAATCTCTTCTGACACATTCAGAGCTTATGGAATTGTCTACCATGCAACCAGCTTCACTGACCCAGATAACGCCACTGGCCCAGCAAGGATTATGGGCCAAACCAACGCCTTTGCAGAATAATGAGTTCGCACATTGTTTGATTAGAACTGTGTTCAGAAGTCTGTGTGGAACATGCATATTCTTCATTTTATGTATTGCCCGTGCCATCCTGCTTTTGCATATCTACCCACAATCATTTGGGGCAGCTCCAAATCCATCGCCCAACAAAGTGAAATCTTAGAAATCATTTGTTCATAATCAAAAGACCCAACTATATTAAAATTTGAAACCACGACAAATAAGTACATCCCTCAAGTCATGTCCTAATATTTGTGACATGCCTAATTTAGTTGTCTGTAGTTCGACCATTTTGAATCTGATGTGAAAAACAGAATGACAGAATCAAGGTCCCATAATGCCCAGGGTATGTACCAAATCTGGTTCCAGATACTTAATTTTGATGATTTTGAAGAAAGTCGTAATTTCGCTATTTTGATCAGATCATGAAACAAATGATGTATGCGTATGTAGATGATTGGCCGAGAGGTGTCCAAGATACAGGTGGGGATGTATGCATGGAGATCAATCAGCAAGTCCCAGTTTTCAGACTTTGTTCGAACAGGGTCTCACAATGAAAGTTATCATACACAACGTGATTTTTGTGTTTATTTTTACACTTATCATAATAATCAGTCAAACTACACAAATGTCATTGTTTCAATATTCATTGCAAATATAAAGTGCTTTTGGTTAAATAAATCTCAGATGGCATTAATGTCACCTATCACCATTTGATTATCATTCTGAATGATACATAATGGGCGCCACCTTTAGGGCAGAATAACACCAGGCATCACTTTATGTATACCATGAGGTTTACTTATCTTTTTTACTGTTGTGTAGTGTTGGTTATTTTGTTCTTGTAGATTGTTGTTTTTGTTGTTTGTTTTGTGTTCTTGGACTACTAAATTCCTCCAAATGACTTTTGTTAACAGATCTATAATTTCCACAGTCAGGTTCAATCACTCTTCAATAGCCACCCGTACTTGTCTAAACTCTAGCATTTCAGTTCCCTCCACACCGAGCCCTCCTGGTCCCCACCCTTCTGTAGACAACCATCTGGTCTACAGACTTTCACAACAAACCGCCTTGACCACATCCCTTGACATTCAACTACCTTGTCCACATCCCTTGATATACAACCAGCTTGTTCACATCCCTTGACATACAACCACCTTGTCCACATCCCTTGACATACAACCACCTTGTCCACATCCCTTGACATACAACCACCTTGTCCACATCCCTTGTCATACAACCACCTTGTCCACATCCCTTGACATACAACCAGCTTGTCCACATCCCTTGACATACAACCACCTTGTCCACATCCCTTGGCATACAACCAGCTTGTCCACATCCCTTGACATACAACCACCTTGTCCACATACCTTGACATACAACCACCTTGTCCACATCCCTTGACAAACAACCACCTTGTCCACATCCATTGACAAACAACCAC